CAGGCCATCCCTTTATTACTGGCTATTTCCTCTAGCCATTAGGGTTTCATTTCCCCTCTGTGGCTCTTTTCTAATTCTAGGTGCTGTTTCTGATTGTATCCACATTTAGAATATAGCCCCATGATGCAATAATCTTTTGTATACTAAGAATTTCAAATCTCTAATTTTAATCTTTTTTTTTTTTCAGGGGCAGGGTGACACACCCAGAAGTGTCAGGACTTACTTCTGGTTCAGCACTCCTGGCTGATGCCAGAGATTCAACCTGCATCAGTCGCATCAAGACAAGCACCCCTTGGGGCTGGAGTAATAGTACAGTGGGGAGGGCGTTTGCCTTGCACGCAGTTGACCCAGGTTCGATTCCCAGCATCCCATATGGTCCCCCGAGCACCACCAGGAGTAATTCCTGAGTGCATAAACCAGGAATACCCTGTGCATTGCCAGGTGTAACCTGAAAAGCAAATTATTAATGATAATAATAATAATAATAAAGGAAAGTACCCTAGTTCCTGTACTATCACTCCACCCCTAATTTCTCTTTTGACCTCCATAAGAATTCTCAAATTTGGGTTGGAAAGAGTGTATCATAAGAATTCTCAAATTTGGGTTGGAAAGAGTGTATCAGGGCTAAGGCACTAGTCTTCCATGCAGTCGAACTCAGTTCAATAGTCATTTTACATATGGTGGCAAGCACTGACTAGGAATTTTTTCTGGATGAAAACTGTAGCCATCTCTTTTCTTGTATGCAGTTAGCAATGATAATACCACCCGCTGTGCTGCAAATATCACTGACAATCTTAGTCGTTCTACATTTGTGGTATGGGTAGAGACAGTGAAAATCATGAGAAGACAAAATGATGGTGCAGTAAAGTAAAAGTAAAAAGTAAAGGCCCTCCCGTTGATCGTCGATTTGCTCGAGCGGGCCCAGTAACGTCTCCATTGGAGACTTTGTTGTTACTGTGTCTGGCATATCGAATACTCTCGGTAGCTTGCCGGGCTCTCCGAGAGGGGCGGAGGAATCGAACTCGGGTCGGCCATGTTGGCCGCTTGTAAGGCGAACGCCCTACCCCCTGTGCTATCGCTCTGCCCCGTATACAGCAGACCCAGGTTTAATCCCTGGAATGTGGTCTCCATATGATCCCTCCCATATGGTTCCCTGAGCAACTCCACGAGTAATTCCTCAGTGCAGAGCCAGGAGTAACCCCTCAGCATCACCGGGGGTGGCCAAAAAAGGAAAAAAATTAGATATTGGCTGCCAGAGAGATAGTGCAGCAGTCAGTACTCGTTTCAGCAGCACATATACTAAAATTATTATTTTAGTATAAAAGTAGGCAGGGGTCACACCCACCAACTGGCCCCCTGGCGCCGTGTAATCCCATCAACGGCCAAGACCCAGAGACTATAAAACCCAGCTCCTGAAAGCACGCGGCCACATTTGCGGCCACGCAACATCTTATTGTCTCATTCCTACTTTGGACAAACTGGCAGGCTACCGAATGTAACCTGCCCACATGGCAGAGTCTGGCAAACTCCCCGTGGTGTACCCAATATGCCAAATACCAGTAACAATGATGGGTCTCATTCTCCTAACCCTAAAAGAGCCTTGAATATGGCACTTTTTAAAAAATATCAGGGCTAGGATGAAGGAGACGTTACTGGGGCCTGCTCGAGGCAATCGACGAACAACAGGATGGTCGTGATCATGATATACTAAAATTGGACATTTTAGTACAGCAGGTAGGTGCTTGCCTTGAATATGATTGACCTGGATTTGATTACAAGCATCCCATATGGTCTCCTGAACTCCTCCAGGAGTGATCCCTGAGTGCAGAGCCAGGAGTAAGCCCTGGGCATCACTGCATGCCCCCTCCAAACAAAATAATAACATAGTCAAATAATACATAAGATACTCACGTGCAAGAAATATCTGCTTGTGTGGAGCCCTGAGTTTGATCCCTGGCACTGTAATATAACAATAACATCACCATCACCAAAAACAACAGCCAGGGGATTCAGAAATACTCAGAAGCAAAAGCACTTGCCTTGCAAAGTGTCATTGGTGTTTCCGACCTGCACTGAGCATGATCCTGGTCATTCTGCTGAGACCCTAGTGCCACAAGCGATTCCTGGCCACACGGCAACAGGGTGCATCTGAGCACTGCAATGAAAAGGCACACGACCCCAGGTGAGTGTTGCAACTAAAAACCGTGCGACACACCAAAACGAACAAGAACAACCAGTGCCGGCACAGATGCAGGGAGACAGAGACTCATTCATTGTTGGTGGGAATGCCGTTTGGTCCAGCCTTTTTGGAAAGCAATATGGAACGTTCCTCAAAAAAAAAACTAGAAACTGAGCTTCCATATGACCTAGCAGTACCACTTCTGGGAATATATGCCAGGGATGTAAAAAAGCACAGTAGAAATGACAGCTGCACTTGTATGTTTATTGCAGCACAGTCCATAATAGCCAGAATCTGGAAACAACCTGAGTGCCCTAAGTCAATGATGACTGGAGGGATTGCTCGGGGTGCGAGACGTGCTGAAAGTAGACAAAGAACCAAACATGATGGCCTTTCAGTATCTGTATTGCAAAGCATAATGCCCAAAAGTAGAGAGAAAGGAGGAAGGTGCCTGCCACAGAGGCAGGAGGTGGGATGGGGTGGGCGGTGGGTGGGAGGGATACTGGGAACGTTTTTCATTTTTCATTTCATCATCCTGTTATTCGTCGATTGCCTCGAGCAGGCCCCAGTAACGTCTCTTTCATCCTAGCCCTGAGATTATATTCAGGGCTATTTAGGAGAATGAGACCCATCATTGTTACTGGTGTTTGGCATATTTGGTATGCCACGGGGAGTTTGCCAGACTCTGCCCTGTGGGCAGGCTACATTTGATAGCCTGCAAGTTTGTCCAAAAGTAGGAATAAGACAATAAGATGTCATAAAAAAAAAAAAGTTCTGTTAAGATGTCGCGTGGCCGCAAATGCGGCCGCGCGGTTCCGGGATCTGGATTTTATAATCTCTGAGTCTTGGCCGCTGATGGGATTACACGGCGCCAGGGGGCCAGGTGGTGGGTGTGACCCCCGCCTACTGGAATTTGGAGGATCTGGGTGGAAGATGCTCGACTCCAATTCGAGTAGGCTTGGAGGTCTCGGCCCCGGAACCCGCGTGGCTTTGTCCCTCTGCCAGTACCTTCATGTGTGCGGAGAGTGGTCTCAGCATGGTGGTGGCTGGTCCTGGGAACGTGGGTGGTGGAAAATGCGCACTGGTGGAGGGATGGGTGTTCGATCATTGTGTGACTGAAACTCAATCATGAGAGTTTTGTAACTGTATCTCATGGTGATTCAACAAAAATAAAGTGTGGTAAAAATGGAAACTAAAAATAAATAAGTAAAAACCATGCAAGCACCTCCGCTGGAGAGGACATGCCCTCGCAAGCATGGATGAACACCATCAGGATGTGTGCAAACACTCAATAAGAAAACGGAGTTGGGCTCTCCGCAAGCATGTGTGCAAGCCATAGGACCAAAGGAGTGTGGCCACCTGGCCAGCACCACAGCCAACCATGTGCATGAACCAGTCATCTCAACAAAAAGGCGGGAATGAAAAAGGATCCCCCCTTTTGTGTACGTACATTTTCAAGTACATATGAACATACAAAATAACAAAAGAAGTGAATAAACTGTCAGCAACTTCATTTGATTTTTGTGCCATGCCCAACAATGGTCAGGGATCACTCTTGGTGGCCTTCAGGGGATTGAACCCAGGTTGGCCACATGCAAGGCAAATAAATGCCCTACCCTATGTACTATCACTCTGGCCTATCACCAGATTTTTTAAAATTTTTCTTAATTTTATATTTGATTACATTTAATATTCAAACACCAATCCCACCATCGCTACACCTTCCCACCACATTTCGTATGTTTCCATCCCGAACCCCAATCTCTGCCCCGAAGCAGAACCGAAATAATGTATTTTGTATTGTTTGTTATGAAAATCTGCTGAGAATGCTAGAAGTATCCTTAGAGGAAAGAGTTTAAGGATTGTTGTATTTTATCCAGGGGTCATTAAGCACTTCTATAAGAGATCACTAACATGTTGTTAAAGGTTGAACCTTGTGTGTGTGTGTGTGTGTGTGTGTATGTAAAAAAATGTGTATTTCCCTCTAAGATTGGTTGCCTCCTACTTTGAACCCTGTCAAATGTGGTGCAGTAATCCTGGAGTATGGGTAGAGTATGTGGTTTTAAGTATCACATAGCCATAAATGCAGCCACGTGGTCCAGGAATAGATGCACTTGTGTGTGATGCTCGGTCTGAGCGTATCACCAGATTTCTTATCACAAATATGATGACGTGAGCTTTTTCTTTTGTCCTAGATAAATCAGAATGGTGCTCCACTAAGACCAACTGACTTCCCAGAGCTTGTCCGATTACTTACACAATTATGTTGCCCCAAATACACAGAAACCTGCCTTTTAAAAAATACAGGGCCAGAGTGAAAGGACAGCAGGTAGGATGTTTGCTTTGCACGTGGCTGACTCAGAGTTGATCCTTGACATTCCCTATGGTCTCCTGAGCAGCGCCAGGAGTCATTTCTGAGTCCCACCAGAGTCCTGCCCCTTTCCAGTGGATACAGATGGTGGGAAGGAGGACAAAGTCTCAGTGTCATCGTTTTTGCTGCCTTATCACCAAGTGATTTTGGACCACACCTGGCTGTCCTCATGGCTGACTCCTGGCTCTGCACTCAGGGGTCACACCTGGCTGGTGCTCAGGAGACCGTCTGGGTGCCAGGGATCAAACCCAGGCTGGCCATGTGGAAGGCAAGTGCCTTATCCACTGCACTCTGTGGCCCCTGAAATCCTTAAATTGTGAACTGCAGAGAACACAGCATATAGAAGCTGAGTCCTTATAAAGCACAAATGTGGTATGAACAGAAAATGACTGCAACACTTGAAGAATTTTTAATGGCATATTTTATTAAAAAACTGAGGCATCTTTCATTTCCCTAGATGAACATTCAGCTTAAAACCAGGGTCTCTAGTGCCCTCTGGTGACACCTCTTGGGATGGGTTCAGATGACTGAAGAAAGCCGAATTTACTGCCTGGCGGGCGGAGTCCCTTGTGTTACAAAATGCCGCCTTTTCCGGCAGCTGATGAGAAAAGCAGCCTCAATGGATGTGTCTTGCTCTTTAAGGAAAAATGTCCTCCCCAGTGACACTCAGCTAAGCTTATAGCAAAAATACTTTCTTGCCAAGTGTTCGCTGTCATTGCTGTCTTAAAACCGAAATGATCATTAACACGGGAGGGATAATGTAAGAAAATCACGAAGTAGTTCAGGTGATAATCCGGATGTGAGTCAGACGATCCATGACCACAACAAAGAGGTTGACAGAACAGCAAAAATGACAAGAGTTTAGCGTCCAAGAAAGGCTTTCTGCGTTGTGCCACTCTTTACCCAGTTCCGACAACAGACAGGAGACGCGGAAAACAACTTTCTCGCAGGTGTCAGAAGCCGACCTATTCCAGATGAGAGTCCTTTGTAAAAGTGAGTATCAGCAGAGTCTGAGTTCGTTCTCCAGACCAAATAACTTGAACTTGAGGTTCTTCAGTTCGCCTTGGATCTTATGTGCCCGTCTGTTGTTGTCCCGCATTTCAGACAGAATGGCAAGATCCTTGTTTGCCTGTTCATTAAGTGAGACCTAGAGATTGGAGGAGGAAAAAAAGAAATAATTGTGAAATATGCCAAGGGGGCAGCAATCAGTCAGAAAGGCCAGGCAGGGGCCTGAGACAGAACAGTGTATAAGGCACTCCCCAAGAACTCAGCTGACCTGGGCTCAATCCCCGGAATCATAAATGGCCCCACGTACTCTTGAACACAATCAGGTGTGGCCCCAAAGCCAAAACAAAGAAACAAAGGCAACCCCCCCCCCCAACAAAATGCCAGGCCACGCTGGCTTCACTACACGAGATTTAAGATACATAAGATAAATTTACTTCTTAATTTAATGAATAAAGGAAGACAGATGCAGAGTGGAATTACAGGCAAAAATTTTACTTTATCCATCACTCAACTGCTTATTTTCTCTTCTGTGAAACAGGCAGTTCTTTTTTTTTTTTTTTTTTAGTGACAAACCAAGAGGTTCAGTTGTAGACTTACAAATTTTTGTGCTTGGGTTTCAATTATACAATGATCAAATGCCCATTCCTCCACCGGTGCCCATTTCCCACCACCACGGATCCCGGTATCCCTCCCACCCCCCCCCCCATCCTACCCTGCCTCTGTGGCAGGGCACTCCCTTTTGTTCTCTCTCTCCTTTTGGGTGCTGTGGTTTACAAAAGGGGCAGTGAGCTACATAGTACTCCACTGTGTAGATGTACCAAAGTTTCTTTAACCAGTCGTCTTTTCTCGGGCACTCAGGTTTTTTCCAGATTCTGGTATTGTAAAGAGTGTTGCAATGAACAAACAAGTGCAGATGTCACTTCGACTATACTTTTTTGCCTCTCTGGGATATATTCTCAGGAGAGGTACTGCTGGGTCAAATGGGAGCTCGATTTCTAATTTTTGGAGGATCGTCCATACTGTTTTCCAAAAGGGTTGAACCAGTGGACATTCCCACCAGCAGTGAAGGAGTGTCCCTTTCTCGCCACATTTGCGCCAGCACCGGTTGCTTTTGTTCTTGTGGATGTGGGCCAATCTCGAAACAGGCAGTTCTTTTACTTCTTGTCTGTGCTGGGAGCTACTCCCAGCTCTGTGCTCTGGAATTGCGCAGGTGCTGTGCTGGGAGAGGGTGCTGGATGGAACTGGGACCCTCAGCTCGTCCCCATGCAGGGTGAATGCTCAGCTGCTGGGCGCTCTCCCTGGCCCTCACACGCTACTGGGGAAGGGGAACCAGGGCCGGGGGCTACTCTGCCTTCAGGAGTGAACTGAGGTTGTCCACAAGCAAGGCAAGCGCCTAAGCCTCTGCACTGGGGTTGGAATGACAAGACGGCGGGGACAGTGTTTGCCTGCCTGCGGCCAACCCAGGTTCGATCACCGGCATCCATCATGGTCCTCCTGAGCTCATCAGGAGCGATCCCTGGGTGCAGAGCCAGGAGCCAGTCCTAAACACTGCTGAGTACGACCTCCCCCAACTACCAAAAAATAAATAAAAAACAAAATAAATTAGCCTCTGAACTATCTGGCACAGTACTGCTCCCTCTTTCTCTTTTTTTTTTTTTTTTGAGGGCAGTGTGGGTTGGGCCACACCGTGCAGTATTCGGGAACTGTTCCGGCTCTCTCTGCTGGGCTGGCCGGTGGCAGTGCTCGAGGAACCCCAATTGGCCCCAGAATAAAACCAAGGTCAGCTTCAAGCAAGGCAAATTGCCGTAAGATTATCTCTTCGGGCCCCTCAACACAGTTGTGTTAACCTACCACTAAAACTGGGAGAAATAAAAACTTCGATTCAGTTCAAGCTGAGCTAGACACATAATAACAAAGTCATTCACCCATTTCAGCCTTTTTCTGCTTCCCGCAACCGTGGATCTGCTAAGCCAATTCAGAGGGACAGTAAGGAGAGTGACGTGCCCGGGTCCTGTCTCTCTGCCCACGTCTCCTCTTGCACTCCCGCCCTCTTCCCTCGTGCAGGGCCGGCAATTACCTTATAGAGCATCTGCTCCAAGTCCTTCAGCTTCTTCTGCAGAGCCTTGATGTCCGTCTTAAAGCCCTCGACCTCCAAGACCCGCCGAGTCTCTAAGGCCTCATAGCGTTTGGTCATTGTTTGTAAACGCTTCCCCATCTTGACGCTTCGATCCTACACCGCAAGGCATTCACAAAGTTGAGGAAAGCATCCCCCGGAAGAGGAAAGCCCCTTCCAGTCCTTCAGAAGCAGGAGAGAGTTGATTCCTACCTTAAAGATCTCTCTCCTTGCTCCTTCTTCCTCACGAATTCGGGCGAGTTCTTCTTCTAGGGAGATGCACTGCTCTTGATACATGTTGGAGAGCTTTTTCTCTTGTAGGATCTTTTCCTTCAGGGACTACAGGACAGGAGGGAGAAACACATTAAGACCCAGTTATACCATGTAGGTTATATAGAGCATGGGTAAAAAGAATGGAAGGAAAGAAGGAATTTCCAGTAGTACAAAGCGAGAAAAAGATAGCAAGGAACTTCAGAAAATAGAAACTTTTTCAGAAAAAGCCCACCAGCGAGTATGGCTCAAAAAACAAAAACAAAAACAAAAACAAAATACTGTTTATAACATGCTTTCGGGCATATGATCTCCCAAGGTCCTCTTCCTCTGTAAATCTAAGGCTCTTGGACATTCTCTGGGTTCTATGAACCATTCCAGAAAAACCAAATATTGCTACAAAGCGTTAAAAAAAGAAAACCAACCCTACCTTAATATATTCACTGTGGTTTGGATGACTCTCAGACTTTTCAACAGGCCGGACTTTTCCAACTTTCTCTTCTTTCTTCTTAGACTGTGCCTTGTATTGTTTAATTGTTGATATCAACTGATCCCTTTCGAGCATCCACGACTTCTCTTTGTTTTGGTTCTCAAATCTGAGTTGCAAAAAGTCTTTCGTGCTCTCATACAACAGTTCTTGGGTGTGATGAAGACTATGAAAGAAAGTACCAATGTGGACATAAGGATTTCCCTGAGTTGACTTCAGGTTGGCTGGAGCGATAGCACAGCGGTAGGGCGTTTGCCTTGCACGCAGCCAACATGGCCGACCCGAGTTCGATTCCTCCGCCCCTCTCGGAGAGCCCGGCAAGCTGCCGAGAGTATCTTGCCCGCACGGCAGAGCCTGGCAAGCTCCCCGTGACTTATTCAATATGCCAAACACAGTAACAACAAGTCTCACGATGGAGATGTTACTGGGCCCGCTTGAGCAAATCGATGAACAACGGGAGGACCGTGACCGACCGTGAATTTCAGGTTATGAAATTAGGAGGTCAGGAAAAGAAAATAATTTTTTTTTGGTTTGGGGACCCCCCCCCACACACACCCGTATCTCCTCTCTCTTCATCATTGTTAGTGTCTCCTCCTTTTGCCAGTGCTCGGGGGACCATATGAGATGTGAGGGATCGAACCTGGGTTGGCCATGTCCAAGGCAAGTGCCCTCCCCACTGTACTCTCTCTAGCCCCTACTTGCTTCTTCCTTTTCCCCTTACCCCTCCCCTTCCCCTTTTCCTTCCCTTTCCTTTCTTTTCTTTTTTGTGGAGGAAGGAATTGAACCCAGGTCAAGCACTTTATTACTCAACCACATCGCTGGTCTTCCACAACTGCTCTTATGCTACTATTTTGTTTTTTTCAATCTATCAGTTGTAGTTTTCTTGAGCACTCACTTTTTGGTGAGTTCTTTGATTCTTTCCTGATTCCTCTGCTGGTGAACTTGTATCTCCTCAATGTGGATGCGTCTATCCTCCATCAGGCCTTCCAGCTGCTCTCTAGAAAGCTTGGTCTGCTCCTCCAGCTGGGCCTGCAAGGCCTCCACCTAGAGAAACCCACAGGGGTGAGGCACCACGCCTGCTTCCGGTTCAGTTTTTTCTTTTTTTCAATGAAGCAAGATCGTTTCTATTGAATTTTTTTTGGCTGGGGAGGGTTGAGGCCACACCTGGTTGGTGCTCAGGGATTTATTCCTGGTTCTGCACTCAGGAATTACTCCTGGCAGTGCTTGGTGGGAGGCTTGGGGGACAGACATCGGACGCTGGGGATCAAACCTGGACCAGCTGCCAGGCAGCACCCTACCCACTGTACTATCACTTAGGCTACAAGAATTGGTTTTTTTCCCTCTACTATTTCCTTTGTGTGTGTACATACATTATTATTTTTTTAAAATTTTAATGAAATCACCATGCAAGCCCGGTTATAAAGTTGTTCACGGTTGGGTTCAAGCCATACAATATTCCGACACCCGTCCCTTCATCAGTGCACAGAATGAAACTTACTTAGAAGGATGTCAGGGGAGAGAAAGAGAGGAAATACACATTCAAGAAGGAACACAAAGTGGAAAAAAGCCACAAGCAAAGAGACAGAGACAAGCAAGTGAGATACATGTTAAAGGGCAAACACAGGCTTGAAGAGTAAGACGTCACTTCTTATGTCAAGCCTTTCTCTAGAAAGACAGGAACTTGAGTACAACTACGTGAAAAATCACGGTTGCAACTGCTATATAATGTATGCATTTGTAGGGTGACTCATGGAACTAGAGAGAGTACAGGGGTTAAGGCGCATGTCCTACATATGGCTGACCCAGGTTCAATACCCAGCACCCCATGTGGTCCCCAGAGTGACCCTAAGGAGTGATTCCTGAGCTCAGAGCCAGGAAGCCCTCAGCATAGCTGGGTGTAATCCCTAGCCTATATATATATATATTTGGTCCATATTAAAAAGACGCTGGAACTCTGCACCAGGCTGTGGGGCGGGTGAGAGCCCTCCCCACCCCAACTGACCCAGACCTGGCAGCCGACCTCCACTGTCCAACCACAGCCACGCTCCAGGCTGCTTTCTGGACCATGCGGCCACTTTGTGGCCATGCGACACATTATAAGACACTTCCTACCCATTTATGCCTCTTGGAGAGCCCAGCAAGCTACTGAGAATATCCCGCCCGCACGGGCAGGGCCTGGCAAGCTCCCTATGGGGTATCCAATATGCCAAAAACAGTAACGACAATAGGTCTCATTTCCCTGACGCCGAAGGAGCCTCCAATCATTGGGAAAGATGAGTAAGAAGAGGCTGCTAAAATCTCTGGGCTGGAAGGAATAGAGACGTTACTGGCACCCACTCGAGTAATTTGACAACCAATGTGATAATAGTGATAGCGATATGTCTCTTGGAGAGAGACTGCAGATGAGCTGAACCTGGTAGGTGGGTCTCTGGGTCCAGATCACTGGAGCTGACTCGGGATGGGGCAGGTGAGTCCCAGTGCCGTGGGGGAGTCCAGGGCTCCACCCACCCACAGTCGCCGCTGCTCACATTCCACCCGAAACAGCTCTGGAGAGAAGCTGCAGCCGTGCCGAACCTGGTGGACCCAAGACGGTGCTGTATGACCTTATTGACACAGCTCCTGGAGCGCATCTCTGAAGCTCACGGCCCAGAAAGTGGACAGGTGGGCAGAGGCCCACTGAGCTTGTTAAGTGGAAACAACATCACAGAAGGCTCAGCTGGCACCAAAGTAAATCCTTGGACTTGCTTCAGTGACTTTAGTGATACCATTACATTCAATTATTGTATGCTTGCTAAGGGGGGCAGGTTGGGAGTGGGTGGGTAACTGGGGACACTGGTGGGGGAAAGGTCACATTGGAGGTGGGATCAGTGTTGGAACACTGAATATCTGAAAGGACTGCCTTATGAACAATTTTGTTTATTATAAAGTTTCAAATGGGGTGGGGGGGGCAGGGAAAAAAAGAGGATGATTCATTATACTCCAAGACTTTAGAACACGCACTAAATAAGTGGACATGTTCCACAGGCTGATCTATCAGCATAGACAGATGTAGACAGATGTCTCCCCCTGCTCAACCCGGGCCAGTGCCAAAAAGAAATCCCTCTTAGAGTGAATTTACTAGGTAAATCTTCTTACATTAGCTGAATGAACCAAACAGTAGTTCTGAAGTACTGAAGTGCTCAGAAGTACCGTTGATAGCTCAGTAGTGCTCCTAATGGTCATGTGAGGGCCAGAAAGACAGCTAAATGGGCAGGAGGCCAGGGTTCAATCTTCCCTGCTGGACATACCCACTGAGCAATCACCAGGTGTCACCCAACTATTACTGAAACAGCAGCAACAAACATATAATGCCCAGACGTGTGTAAGAAATGCTTATCATGCGATGCTGAAGGTTGTGAAGGTGAAGGTTGTGGATTGAAACTGACTTGGTGTGCCAAAACATACTTTTTACCTGTAAGATAAGTAATTGTATATCTCTCCGGGGGGCCTCGGGATTTTCTTTCTTTTTTTTTATTGTTGGCTTTTTGGGGTTTACTTTAGAATCTAAAACAGGAAAAAAAAAGTTAATGAAGATTTTTACTTTTCTTTCAAGTATTATTTTTGCAAAGGAGTTTAGTCTCTTCTACCTATAAGAAATGGATCATGATCACGGTCATGGTCCTCCCGTTGTTCATCAATTTGCTCGAGCAGGCCCAGTAATGTCTCCATCGTGAGACTTGTTGTTACTGTGTTTGGTATATTGAATATGTCACGGGTAGCTTGCCAGGCTTTGCTGTGCAGGCGAAATACTCTCGGTAGCTTGCCGGGCTCTCCGAGAGGGGTGGAGGAATCGAACCCAGCTCGGCCAGGCTGGCTGTGCACAAGGCAAACACCCTACCCATTGTGCTATCACTCCAACCCCAAAATTTAATTATTTGAATAATTTAAGATGTTCATTAAAATCTTAGACCAGCAGAAATATTATATGAACATTATCACTGTAAAGAAGGGGGGGAATGTGAATTATTTGACTATGCTTTTGAAATTGGCATTAATTAAAAGTTACAAACCTTGGGGCTGGAGTGATAGCAGAGCGGGTAGGGCGTCTGCCTTGCACGCGGCCAACCCGGTTCAATTCCCAGCATCCCATATGGTCCCCCAAGCACCACCAGGAGTAATTTCTAGTGCATGAGCCAGGAGTAACCCCTGTGCATTGCCAGGTGTGACCCAAAAACGAAAAAAAAAAAAAAAGAAAAAGAAAATTACAAACCTTCTGTTGGAGCTGAGGACTCATTCTGTTCAGATGTACCTACAGATGGGACAGTCTTTTGAGCAATCCAGACCTGTAGAGGCAAAAAAGAGGTAAGATGTCGTTTCAAGAACCCTAAAATGAAAGATTACATATTTTAGCTTCAGTTCTACGAACATTCATAAATTAAACTGGTCAAATTGGTATAAATCATATAAGGATGTCTTGTATATGAGGTCTATGGACAGAATAATGAAAGGATAAAACCCAGGGTTGTGACAGAAATTTTTTAAAATTTGGGTTATTTAGCAATGTCTGTTAAAAACATCATTTACAAAGTGGTCTTTGGGGCTGGAGCAACAGGACAGTGGGGAGGGCATTTGCCTTGCATGAGGCCAACCAGGGTTCAAACCCTGTCATCCCATAAGGTTCTCCAAGCACCGCCAGGTAGAGTTCCTGAGTGCAGAGCCAGGAGTAACCTCTGAGCATCGCTGGGTGTGACCCAGAAAGCCAAAAATTAAAAATAAGATTTTTTAAAACGCAGTCTTTGACAGAATCTTCTGTCTTAGTAACAGAAACACAGAAGTCTGCATATGGAGATACATACAAAAATGCTCACTGACGTACCGCTTAGAGAGGCGAGAAAGTGGCAAGAACATACACAGATACCAAAATTTTTACGTAAGTGAAATATGGGCTCTAGGTCTACGGTACTGAGTTGTGGAAGACAGCAGAGATAAGCTTCTATAATCTGTTTTCATTTATTTTTTTGTTTTGTTTTATTTTGGGGCTATACCTGGTGGTGCTCAGGACTTATTCCTGGCTCCGGCTCTGTGCTCAGGGATCATTCCTCACAGAATCAGGGGGCCAGATGGGAGCCCAGGGATTGAACTCAGGTTGGCCGCATGCAAGGAAAACGCCCTCTGCTGTACTATCACTGTCCCCTGTTTTTAGGAAAGACATGCAATAAAGCACAGAAACAGACAAAGCCAGCAGACACAAACTCTGGCACTGAGCCCACAGACCGATGGTCAACATGGGGGGGGGGGAGGGTGCAGAATCAAAGCAGAGCTGATGACTGTGATGACGAAGGGATATTGGTCTCTTGGTGTTTGTGGACTGACAACACGTGCCCTGAAGAGGTGTTAAGTTAGGTTGTTTGCTTTCACTTTTGAGGCCACACTAAAAAATACTGGAGAGTATCAGGGGTGGGATGGGAGGGGACCAGGGTGGAGGGGATGAAATTCAACTAAATATGGATTCCTGCATGCAAAGCATGTACTCAACCTGTCGCGCTGTCTCTCCGGGCAAGAAGAGGTGTGACTCTGCACCCCTAAAACACACAGTCATGGAAACAAATGTTATCTCAACAATAAAAAAGAAAAAAAGTGTATGTGAGGCTCTGGGGTCTCGCCACGGCACTGCAAAAGCAAAATGGGGTGGAGGCGGGGGGGGGGGGGGGGGGGGCTTTGAGTAATAGAAAATACCAGAAATGGCTGGAAAGACAGGGGAGCGGGTAGGGCACTTGCCTTGCACACGGTAGACCTGGGTTTGATCCTCAGTATCCCAAATGGTGCCCTGAGCACCACAGGAGTGATTCCTGAGCGCAGAGCCTGGAGGAACCTGAGCATTGCCCGGGTGTGGCTCCAAAATCAAACAAGTAAACAACCAGGCAACCAGAAAGGCTCAGAGCCTCAATTTCTACAGCTCAGATAAAACTTAGCTGACACGCCAGGAGTGATCCCGAAACACAGAGCCAGGAGTTAGACCTGAGCACCTCCGGGTGTGGCCCAAGAAGCAAAAGGGAAAAAAAGTAGTTTATTTTTCACTGTGGGGATAACTATAAACATTTTGCTAGAAGGGTCACCTGAAACTGTGGTACCCAGAAACACGGGGGTGCCGTGAGGTGCTGGGACTGAGCCCAGAGCCCCCACCTCCTGGGCACGTGTTCTACTTGCACTCTATCTCCCTGGCCCAAGACATCTAAATGCTGCTTAGTTAATACTAATGGGTTAACAGGTCAATCAGTGCTAGATCTCGAGGGGGGGGAAAAAGGCCATCCACTCCTTTTTTAAGCCAGACAGACAGGGGCTGGAGAGAGTACAGAGGGCGAGGCCCCTTGCATGCACACAACCCAGGTTCAATCCCCAGCGTCCCCTGGGGTCCCCGAAGCCTTGCCAACTGTGATCCCTGAGCGCAGAGCCAGGATTGAGCCCTGAACACAGCTGGGTGTGGCCCCCAAAACCTAAATAAATAAATAAATTTTACAAATCAGGATAAGCGAGATTAAAAAAGTTTCAATACTTCAGTACTAAAACTTGCTCTACGATAAGTCTGCTCCTGCTTTCCTCACTCATCTCAGCTGAAACACCCACTCCTCGGTGCTGGGGGGAGACCCATAAATAATGCAGCTGCCTAAGGGTTTGAGGGAAAAAAGGATGAGGTCACCAAGCCCTTTGGAAATAAACTGAAAACCCGGGTAAGCATAGGCCTCTGATAACTAACTCTCTATCTCCTTTAATGAGAACCACAAGTGCTCTGATTTTTTTTTTTTCTTTTTGGGTCACACCCAGCGATGCTCAGGGGTTACTCCTGGCTCTGCACTCAGGAATTACTTCTGGCGGTGCTCAGGGGACCCTATGGGATGCTGGGAATCGAACCCGGATCAGCTGCATGCAAGACAAATGCCCTACCCGCTGTGCTATCACTCCAGCCCACAATTGCTCTGGCTTTGGTTTTTTCTTTAGTTTCTGTTTTAGGGTCATACCCTACAGTGTTCAGAGGTTACTTCTGACTCCAAACTTGAGGGCTGCTCCTGGCAAGCTCAGCGGACACGGGGCCCTGCGGATCAAACCCAGGCCCCCCGCATGCAGAGTATGTGCTCCGCTAGTTGTATATCTTTCTGGCCCTGCTGAGTCTATACCCTTGCCTGATCTCCCCCCAACACCATGCTTCCGGTCCTATCCCAAAGATCACTTACTTTATGGGGAGGCTCCTTACAAAAATAGGTCACTTCTCCAGTGTCTGTTCCCACAAGAGCCAAGAGATTCTGAATCTTCTTCTTATCTTCTAGCTCCCTGAAATTCCCAAAGAAAGGAAGCATGCTGTGTTCAGAATAAGTAAAAATTTTCTATTTTAAGCATCTCCCTTACATTATCGTTAACTGGAGGTGAGGGGCGGGGGAATAGGTCATCCTGTCAGTGCTCAGGGCTCACGCCTGGCCCTGCACTCAAGGGTCACTCCTGCAGTGCTCAGAGGGTGACGTGGGACGCCGGGGATCAAACCCAGGTGAGCGGCATGCGAGACAAGTGTCTTGCCTGCTAAACTATCTCTCCAGCCGTACACAGTTATTATTTTTTAAATGATAGTAACCTCGAATTAAAAATAAGTTTATCTTGAACTTAGCTCTGATTTTCAAAATATTAGGTATTTATAATCAAGAGCCCCTGCTCACCACTAGGTGTGCCCCCCCCCCAAAAAAAAAACAAAGTGAGGCCTAAAAGATGGCACAAGGGTTGAGGTGCCCACTAGCATGAAGTCTGGATCCCGGTTCCAATTCCAGCACTGTATGATGGTTCTCCAAGCACCCAAACATGGCCCCTGAGCACAGATCAGAGGTGGGTCCCTGAGCACAGACCCAGTATGTCCCCGCCCCTAAAAAAAGAAGCATTGTAGCACTGTCCTCGCATTGTTCATCGATTTGCTTGAGCGGGCACCAGTAACGTCTCACCACAAATTGGGAGGCTTGTTGTTACTGTTTTTGGCATATCGAATACATCACGGGGAGCTTGCCAGGCTTTGCCGTGCGGGCGAGATACTCTCGGTAGCTGGCCAGGCTCTCCAGGAGGGGCAGAGGAAACGAACCCGGGTCGGCTGCCTGCAAGGTAACCACCCTACCTGCTGTGCTATCACTAAAAAATTAAAAAAAAAAACAATTACAGACCAGCAGCCCTGAAGAGTGTTGCTGATGCTGGAATCAGCAGCAACAATCTGGATAGTGCCCTACCCGCTGCACTAGCTCTCTAGATCAGCAAACATGGGTTCGAGTCCCACCGCCACACATTCGCCCCACCGAGCACACATTCCAGTGGTGCCCCCAGCTTATTCCAACCATAAAGACCAAAAATCAAAGATGCTCACAAACAAAATTCAGCAGCAAAATATTAAAAGAATTTTTATGGGATAAGAATAAGCATTATTCTTCTAAGAATTCTTATTCCAGTGGACTTTATTCCTAGAATGTAAGTATAACTAACATGAAAATGAATCAATCTACAAAACAAAGGGAAAAAAATCAAACGGTTATCAGCTGTAGAAAACATACAGGGCTGGAGAGATTATACATTTGCCTTGCACGTGGCTGACCCAGGTTTGATCCCCGGCATCCCATATGGTTCCCTGAGCACTACTAGGAGTAATTCTTGAGTGCAGAGCCAGGAGTAACCCCTGAGCATCACCAGGTGTGACGCAAAAAGACAGAAAAAAAAAATAAAATATATAATCAGGGGGCCAGAGCAATAGCAGAATGGATAGGGTACTTGCCTTGTATGCAGCCAACCCAGGTTTAATCCCTGGCATCTCATATGGTCCCTGGGCTCACCAGGAGTGATTCCCACAATGCAGAGCCAGGAAGAAGCCCTGAGCATAGCTGGGCATGGCCCCAAAACAAAATTAAACAAAAAAATAAAGAAAGAAAGAAAATATATAATCAGATAAGGGAAAATGTTTGGCAACATTCCACTCCTTTTCATGATTTAAAACATACAACGAATTAGAAACAGAAGGAAAAAGCATCATAAAATAAAAGCCTTGCATTAAAAAGCCTCTAACAAAAGCCTTGCACATTAAAAGCCTTGCACACGGCCGACACGGGTTTGATTCCCATATGGTTCCCTGAGCACCGCCAGGAGTAACTCCTGAGTGCAGAGCCAGGAGTAACCCCTATGCATTGCCAGGTGTGACCCAAAAAGCATCAAAAAAACCACCAAAAAAACCCCTTGAACTATGGTTCTTAGGGGCTCAGAATGGGCAAGTGGCAGAATTACTGGTTCAGTCTTACTATAAAATGATGAAGTTTCACAGGTAGCTAGGTGGATGGCTGCCCACACAAAATGTACTTAATGCCACTGAAACATACAAAAGGGAAAAATTTCCTGCTATGTACACCCTACCACAATTTAAAAAAAAAAATGTATTCTCGTGGCTGCCCGGAAGATGACTCAATGTCATCTGCAGGATCAAGACCTGGTTCAGAACTTCCCCTTAACTGAAGGTAGCCGTTTCTCCCCAATAACAGCACCCCCACCCTGACCCCACCGCCTAGTCATCGCCAGTATCCAGGACTGATCACTGTGGGGCACAGAGGCAGGACTCTTCTTGCCTCTGAAAAATGGTCCAAGAACCCAGAGGTCTCTGAGGGGCTGGCTGACCACTTTGCCCCAATCCCAGTTCAAATTCTCCCTCGGCCCAAAGCTATTACTACTGAGAGGTCAGCATTAACCACCCTGCGGGCACAGATCCCTCACAGTTGGCTTCGGGAAGACAATACTATCTGAGACTGACCACAGATAAATAGAATTTAGCACCTGATTCTCAGTCGGTCATTTTCCGAGTAGAGGCGCAAAACGTGTTCTCGCTCCTGGAAGAGGCAGACCTGCATATCGCTGAGCGCTTTCTGCAACTCGGCCATCTCCTCCTCTCTCTGCTGCAAATCCCATTCCAGTTTATGCTGGGGGGAAGGTGATTGAAAAGCTTCACTGGAGTTGCCTTTTACGAACGTGGCAGTCAGTTCTGAAAGCGGTTTCACCAAACAGGAATCAAATAAAAACTGTAGCTTGGCAGACACCTGACGATTTTATTTAATAGACGGGTTCAAGGACTACTCCCAGCTCAGTACTCCGGGGTTGCACCTCATGGTGCTGGGGGTACCTAACAATGCCAGGAATTGAACCCCACCCTCCCGCACGCAAAGGAGGTGCTCCGGCCTATTGAGCTATATTTCCAGTCCAGAAAACTGGCTTTGAGAGCTACCAAATGAGGTCCACCTCCCACAGAGACCTCCTGCTGATTCACATGCTGGTCCTGCTTTACGACTCACGACTAAAGAAGCAGGCCAGGCAGCTAAAATCCATGGACATACCAGTCCCTCTAGCTGAAAACTCTGAGGAGCCCTCAGGAGGGGGCCAGGCGTTGTACCTGCCCCACCAAAGCCAAGCGCATCCACCCCCCGCCTCTGCAGACACGCCAAGGGCTCAAGTCTACCACTTCATTAACATTCTCTGTAGAGATGCCAAACCGTGAAACTTTCAGGTACCCTGGCACTCAGGCTGAGAACTCTGGGATCTTCTGGAATTGGGGCAGGCAGCCACCTTCCAACCCCCATGCTTAAAGAAGCCCTGGGAGCCAGCAAACATGCCAGGGACCAAGCCCAGGTCTCATGCATGCAAGTTCTGTACAACTGAGCCACAGCCCTGGTCCAAAAGGCTATACAAGGAATTAGCTGGTTTTGAATTGGGGCCCAAACCAGTGGTGCTGGGGAGACAGTGTGGTGACAGGGATCAAACCTGTGGATCCTGAACTCCAGACCTTTGAGCCATCTCTCCGGCTCAGAAAACTGAAAAGTAAAGAAATGATGCAGGTGAAAATGCAGATAATGAGTGCACGCTTCGTATGTGAGAGGCCTGCACTATATGGTGCTCCTAGCACTGAGTGAGAAGAAATCCCTGAGCACTGTTGGGTAAGACCCAAAACCAGAGTAAAACTTCAGATCAGAATGATAATGTAGGAGGTAGGGTGCCTGCCTTGCACACAGCTGACCCGGGTTCAATTCCTGGAACCACACATGGTCTGGTCTTCTGAGTTTCGCCACGAGTGATCCCTGAGCACAGAGTCAGGAGTAAGCCCAAAACAATCTCCCCCCACTCTACACCCCCACCCCCAACAAAAATAGATTTCAGAGGTGGCTCAGTTGGGGGGATGAGTCCATGAGAGGCCCAATGGATGGTTAGCTGGACTGGGGTAGAAGTACTTTTTTTTTTTTAATTGGGGAATATAAAATATCTGGTATCCCAAATAAATAAATAAAATGAGCATGACAGATAGTACACGAGGTAGGATGCTTGCCTTGCATATGACTGACCCGGGTTTGATTCCTGGTACCCCGTACTGTCCCTCAAGCACTTCCAGGAGGGATCTCTTAGAACAGAACCAGAAGTAAGTCTTTAACATGGCAGGGTGCGGCCCCAAAACAATCAAACAATCAGATATCTGCTTGTGGTAAAAGTTGGACTTCCAGATCTCAGTCATCAACACTTAACCCGAGTCCCAGGGCGAATATCATTGCTGCACCTGTACTTCGCAGGATTCCTTGTAGAGCTCCAGTTTCTTCAACAGGTGCTCATTTTCTACCTCACACTCAGCCATTTTCCTCTGATAATATTCCAGAAGCTCCCGAGAAGGGTGGAGGACGGCCAGACGTTCTTTGACAGAAGGCAACGGAGTTAAATCCACCGATTCTGAGATGGACAGTCTCCTGGGCCTGGTGGAACTTCCCAAGCCACATGCAGTTCCGTGTTTGGGAACAACTGCCGCCCTATGTGAAATCAGAGAGGTCACACGGTCATTGAGCTGTCTGAACACTTATGACACGCATTACAGGTTTTAAATAAGAAAGAGGTTCACGCTGGGCCCTTGTGGAGTTGAAGCGGGCAACCCCACCCCAGGTACTTCTGGAAGCCACACCTATGTCCCAACGCCACCACCTTGTAAGCCCATTTATCAGTCCAGTCATGAATAAATCCCAAAAGACTTCAACTAGCTGCAATTTTTTTTTTTTTTTAGATACACCAGTCCCCTACTGAGACTTCTAGGGCAATTTCACGAGGGGATGGGTCAAGTCACACCCTAAAAGCTGCCTCCAGGCCCAAGGCCTGATCTACCACCTCACTACTGAGCTCCACAAAGATGTCAAACTGCCCAAAAATTTAGCAGTTGGATGAGAGAATTCCCACCAGCGGCGGATGAGGGCTCCTTTTTCATCACATCCCCACCAACAGATTATTCCCCGTATTTCTGATGTGTGCCCTTCCCAGTGCTGTAAGATGAGCTCTCACTGTCATCTTGATTTAGATTTCCCTAATTCCCATCAGAGAATGATGACCATTTTTAGTGATGATGAGCATTTTTTCATGTTCCTATTGACCATCCATTAGTCTTCCTCAAAGAAGTCTGCGTTCATTTCCTCTCCCCATTTTTTTTAATGGGGTTTTGGATATCTTTTTGGTTCATCTTTGTGAGCATGTTATAAATCAACCCTTTATCTAATGTGTTGAGTGTAAACACTTTCTCCCAGTCAATAAACTGCTGTTCCGCTTTAGCCTGTGTTTCTTTTCCATATAGAAATGTTATAGTTTGATGCAGTCCCATTTGCTTAGCTTTAATTCTGTAGCCTTTGACAACGGCATCATATCGTTGAAGACTCCTTCAATGTCCAGATCTTGGAGCATTCTGCCTATATTTTCCTCATGTATTTAGATATTGCCATTTATTTAAACTTGGAACTTACAAACTGAAACAACTTATTTTCAGGGCTATTTAGCAAAATTTTTATTTATTTAAATTTTATTTGGTGGAAGGTCATTTGGGTCGTACCTAGCAGTGTTTGGGGGTTGTTCTCAGTGGTGCCTGGAGAACCGTGTGGTGCCAAGATTTAAACCAAGGTAGGCTGCATGCAAGACATGTGCCTTACAAACCTGTACTACCTCCCCAGCCTGTAAGTGGTAAAATTATTTTTAAAAGATTATGATAAATACAAGGTTTGTGTTAAAAAAAAAAATAATGAAGAGGCAAGAGCGATAATATAGTGGGTAGGGCATTTATCTTGTATGTGGGCAACCTGAGTTCAATCCTTGGCATCTCATATGATTCCCTGAGCACCACCAGGAGTAATTCCTAAGTGCAGAATGAGGAGTAATCCCTAAGCATCACCAGGTATGACCCAAAAATCAACCAGCTGTCCAACCAAATAAACAAAAGCCTAGTTATCAACCACACAACAAAATCAGATACTAATTTCTGGCACTGGAGACATCTGATTTACACAAACCAAAACTAGATACGATTAAAGGCCAATCAAAGACCAGAGAAGACTTTTGTTTGTTCGGTTGCTTTTAGAAAAATACAAAACTTAAGCTAAAACAATAGAAGTTAGGAGCGTGAAGAGATAGTACAGGGGTTAAGGAGTTTGCTGCATGCAGCAGACTCCAGTTAAATCTCTGGCACCAAACACGTGTCCCTGAGCACTGGCAGGAGTGCCCTATGCCAGGAGGGCATAGAACCAGGAGCAAACCTTGAACAACACGAGATATGGTGTATTTAAAAAATAAAAAGAAAAGAAAACAATGCAAAAGTGGAGAAAGCCTCACTTGGAAATGAATCCAGTTTGACTTCACAATCACTGTCACAGTCACTGTCCTCCCATTCATCGATTTGCTCGGGTGGGCCCAGTAACATCTCCATTGTGACACCTGTTACTGCGTTTGGCATATCGAATATGTCACGGGAAACTTGCCAGGCTTTGCTGTGCAGGTGAGATACTCTTGGTAGCTTGCCGGGCTCTCCGAGAAGGGCAGAGGAATCGAACCTGGGTCGGTTGGGTCGGCCACGTGCAAGGCAAACGCCCTACCCACTGTGCTATCGCTCCAACCCAATATAACTAAATAAACACACACACACACACACACACACACACACACATACACACACACACACACCTAGACAGCTGAATGAAAAGACTGTACACAAGAAGCCCAGATAGCCTTAGATTCAGGAAAGTCAGTGCTCTGTGTGTGTGTGTGCTGCCAAAGATTGAACTCAGGTCTCCTAAGTGCAATGCAGGCATTTTGCTGCTGAGCCATCCCTAGAATTACAGTACTTTGCTTCAGTTCTGGGTCACACCTGACAGACAGCATAGAGGTCCCTTCCAGTGGGATATGACCATACCAGGGGATCATCTAATGCTGTGGATTGAACTCTGCCACCTGCATAAAAGCATGTACTCCAACCTTTTGAGTTATTTCCCTGGGTCCCTCACCCTTTCCATTTTTGGTGAGCACATACAGAATATTCAAACTGACTCTCGGCTAAAATGAAAAACAAAAGTCTATGGGTGGGAGAGATAATACAGGGGTATTATCTTGCCTGGCAAGTGGCTGACCCTGGTCCAACCCCCAGCACGGCACAGGGTCCCTCAAGCACTGCCAGGAGTGATCCCTGAGCAGAGCCGGGAATGGGTAAGCCCTGAACACTGTTGGATGCAAAAACTGGAAAAGGAAGATAGGAAAAAAAGAATAGTGAAATAAGGTCTAGTAGATTTCAAACCCAGAGTGTGGAAGTCTGCTTCTCACGTCCTGGAAGTCCGAGATGTGAAAGCCACGGGACTGTGCTGTGTGACCCTACTGATCAGCAGGGCTGGAGGCTTGGTGGAGTCGGTCAAGTGGGTATCCCCTTCCTCTCGCCCTGCTCTGTGTCCCATTCCAGGCTTCACTGTGCGCCTGATCAAAGCGGCTGGCCTTTCCCAAAGAGAGATGGGCTGTTGGTTCTTCAGCTGCACTCCCGGCTACGAGTTCCCCTTAGGTCTCCAGGCTAAACCTGCACTGGGGTCAGAAAAGTCCCAAAAGCAGAAATTTAAAAATGAGCACGTGACTTACTTTCGGCAGACAGGGGTACGTTTCGGAGTAGAGTTCATGTTGTCCTCTGCACACCAGTCAAGTACACAGCAACTGGGAATGATCAGGGCCAAGAAAAGAAAAGCAACAGTAAGGCTGTATAGCCCGATTCCCTCTCCAACACTATCATGTGGTCAGAGTGGTTTATTAGAGTGGGGGGTGACCTAGTGCTCTGGTTCCTTAGTACAGCCTTGCGCGCAGCTGACCAGGTTTGATCCCCACCACCACATATGGTCCCCCAAGCACCGCCTGAGTGCCAACCGGGAGTAACCCCTGAGCATCTCTGGATGTGGATCTTTGCTCCATGATGAGCTGAATGACTTAATGACTCTTAATGACTCGGTTATTGCTCCTGCCGGCATCTCTTTGTTCTGGGGATACACCAGGTGATGGGTGATCTTCAAGGGTTACTTCTGGCTCTGCACTCAGGAAGCATTCCTGGCAGTATCCGGGGGATCACATGGGATGCTGGGGATCCAACCCTGGAGGACCATGTGCAAGGCAAACACCCTACCCTCTGCACTTTCACTCAGCACTCTTTATCTCTTTTCTAAACCTCTCTACCCAAAATGATCTTCCAGATTCCTCCAAATGCAAAAGAATACATGTGTAATTCTCTAAAAGTTATCAGAGAACCATCAGCTACCTGCTCCCCTTATTTCTCCCAGGGCAGTGGAACCCCACGCCCTACTCATCATTCTTTCTCTGTATCTGTGTCCTTGGTCACCTGGTCACCTACAGACGATAAAGTGTACATGGGTTTCGGCCTATCTTCCATTCTTTCCATTTGTCTAACTTCAACGTTGTGGGGCCAGCGATATAATGCGGGTAGGCCAGGGTTCAGTCCCCCACATCCCCGACAGGAGTGATCCCTGAGCACAGGGCCCGGAGTGCGCCCTGAGCACCTCTGGGTGTGCTCCCCCGCACCCCACAAAATTAGCATTGTTTAGCGCTATGACATTTGTTATTTTACTTATCCCGACAACTCTGATGTGATAATTTTGAGTTAATTTTACAAATGATTAAAAAGACAGGCTTAAGCACCAAATAAAGGGTGTTGGGAGGATCCTCCCAGGATGGGAGATGGTGCTGAGAGTAGACTCTAGACCGAACATGATGGCCACTCAATGGCTCTTTTGCAAACCACAGCACCCAAAAGGAGAGAGAGAAGAAAAGGGGACGCTCAGCCACAGAGGCAGGGTGGGATGTGGGGGAAGAGGGGGGTGGGAGGGATACTGGAATTAGTGGTGGTGGAGAATGGGCTCTGGTGGAGGGATGGGTACTCGATCACTGTACAACGGAAACCCAAGCACAAAAATTTGTAAGTCTACAACTGTACCTCATGGTGTTTCACTAATAAAAATTAAAAAAAAAAAAAAAAAAAAGACGGGCTTAAGCCAGCGTGGGGTGAGGGGGTCCCGGAACTCAGCCTCAGGGCGTCCAAATTCCACGTCTTTCCCTGCCATCCCTTCCTGCCTCCCTACTGCTGCAGATTCCCAGGCCTCCGCAGCAGGCAGCTTGCCCCTCCGCGCCCCCAGCCCCGCAACGACCCACTACTCCAGGTTCGCGTCCCCCTGCAGGCTTTGCGTCGCCGTCCCTTCGACCTCACGGGGGCTTTATATCTACCCAAGACCCCCACCCTCCGTCCCTAAGCACGAAAAGAAACTGCATACTCACTCCACACCAAGCCGCAGCCCGGGAGCCCAACCGAAAAACAAAAGTTAAATTGGGTGGCGTCCTGGAGCCACTGAGCGCCCAGGAGCCTGCCCAATCGCACACACGTTTACAGGCCCTTTGACTGGCTCGTCCAATAGGAAGGCGTTTAACATCGAGGCCCGCCCCGTTCCCGCCCTCCCTCGCCCGCTCCTTGGACGCGCAGAGGTCGCCGGGAAATGTAGTTTTTCTTCTGCAAACGGCTCTGGGCTGACTGTAACCCAGCATGGCCCAATAGTGGCGGTGTGATGTTTAGACTCATTCTCGGAATCCCAGTTTAAGCTCAAAAAATTTCCCCCCCTCAGGACCATTTGTCGAAGAACTTCTCCTGGTTCCATGCATATTCTTAGATATCTGTCGTAAGTTGTATATCAATACTTGTTTAAATTTCCATCTAGGCTTTTCATTGTATTCTATTCTAAGAGAGACAAGTTCAGCAGATGACAGTCAGGAATGATGTATATAAACATCTGGTAGCTAATAATCCTTTCTTTACCTGAAAGGTGTGAGAAACTAACTTCACAAATAAGCTAGTTCAAAACCCAGCAGGGCTGGAGCGATAGCACTGCAGGTAGGGCATTTGCTTTGCAAGCGGCCGACCCGGGTTCGATTCCCAACATCCCATAGGGTCCCCCGAGCACCGCCAGGAGTAATTCCTGAGTGCAGAGCCAGGAGTAACCCCTGTGTATCGCCAGGTGTGACACACCACCCCCCTCCCCCCCAAAAATTGTCTCTTCTATTCTCTATGAGAAAAGTGTTGGGATAAGTGCCCAAGGAAAGGCACTTAAATCTCAGAGATGCAGCAGCTGCTACAGACCTAGAATGTAAAAATCCCCAAGCGTCCTCCCCGCAGTACTATCTCTGTCCCTGTCATTCAATTTTTATTTAAACTGTGGCATGGAGATTGCAAGCAGCAGGGCCCTTTTTCCTCTTAAACGGCAGTGTTGGTGGTGAAACTTGCAGCTTCATTATTCTAAGCTAGGCACTCTCCCACTGAGTCAAATTCTCAGACTATTCCTTTTTTTGGGGTAGGGGTGCAGTTGTTGGGCCACACCTCTTGGTACTCAGTGGCTATTGGTTCTGTGCCTGCTCAAGAGACCACACTGTGCCAGGGATCAAACCAGGGACAGCACATGCAAGCAAGCGTCTTAACCCCTGTATGATTTCTCCTCTCCCTTTCAGGTCTATTTGTCTCTCCTTTGACCTTATAGGTCTGGGTGGGTTATTTTCAGCAGTGCTTGGCCGCTACTTACTGGGAGCCATTCCATGTGGGCGATTAAACCCAGGACCTCACATACAGCCTTGTTCAATCACTTGAGTGATAGGCCTGACCCTGGTCCCTGCACTTTTTTTTTTTGTAATATCCTGGTAAACATGTCAATAGTGGTTCTCAAATATACATATCTTTCTATGTATTTCCTCTCCAGATCTCATTACCTTTCACTTGGATGCAAAATTGGTTCCTTCCTTTTTCATTTTATTTATTTATTTATTTAAGAAAAAAATTATTATTATCACACCAAGCTCCCGGGAGAGAACAAGGCAGAGTCTCCTACCCTATGCCTGACTGTCTCCACCAGGGCCCAACAGCTGAAGACCACCGAGGCCCAGCCAAGGCCATGCTGAGACCACTCTCCACACACTTGGATGAGCCTCACGCATAAAAGAATTGGCAGAGGAACCCAGGCATGCGGGACCTGGGGCTGAGATCTCCAAGCCTGCACGGTTTGGGACTGGACCTTCCAGTAACTACACAGTTACACCCACCAACTGCCGTGTAACCCCAACAATAGCCAGGATCCAGAGATTATCATACCAAGCTCCCAGGAGCATTCGCGGCCGCGCAACTTTTTATTTATATTTATTTAATTTTTTAGGCTACCTTGAATATCCCACCCACACGGCAGAGCCTGGCAAGCTATCCGGGGTATATTCGATATGCCAAATCCAGTAAAAAGAAAATGGATCTCATTCCCCTGACCCTGAATACGGCAGAGCCGAGAAGGATGTGGAAGGAGAGGCTGATAAAATTCCAAGGCCGAACTAGGCTGCCAAAACGAAGAAAGACAAAAATGATTGTCTGTACTTTCAATGCACATACGCTGGCATCTGATGCATCCATCGAGGACCTGATGGCACAAGCGCGAAAGATCAAGTACGACATCATTGGTCTGACCAAAACGAGAAGACACCAATCACATCACGCCATTTTCAACACTGGAGAAGAACTGTTCCTTGGAACATGTGACAAAAGAGGTGTCGGTGGTGTCGGTATCCTTGTCAACACGAACTTAGCCATGAGCATTGATTCATTCGATGCCTAACAACCCAAATCATACGACTACACTTGAATAGATGTGGCTCATTGCTGGCAGTTTCTATCTTTGTTGTCTATGCACCAACATCCAATTATGGTGAAAGAGAAATTGAGAAGTTCTACATGGAACTGGAGAAGGTCTATAAAGAAGACCACACCTTCTACAAGATCATTGTCAGTGATTTTAATGCCAAGATAGGACCAAGAAGATCAGCCGATGAACTCCACATCGGGACCCATGGCCTAGAATGGAACGAACAGGGTGACAGACTGTCTGAGTTCATCATGTCAACCAAGACCATCCATGGTAACTCACAGTTCCAAAAGGCTGAATCTAAATGTTGGACATGGGAGTCTCCCGGTGGACAGTTCCACAATGAAACAGACCACATCATATTCAATTGGCGGTTTTGCCTAACTGATATTGCTGTTGTCCCAAAATTCCAAACGGGATCGGACCACCGTCTCCTTTGTGCAAAATTTTACCTCACAGAAAGTTTACGAAGAGAACTCCCAGAACGACCACCAACTGGGAGCTCTTTGGCTCTTTTGCGGCAACATGGGAAGATGCCATCATTGACAACATTGATGAGGAATACGATCGAATGATTCAGCACCTCCATGATTGTGCGAGGAATGCCAAGAGAGAGATAATCACAAAAAAACGCCTTTCTTCGAACACTCTTGAACTTATTCACCAACGTGGCTTGGAAAATGCCTCAGGCAACTGCAAGCGAATGTCCAAGCTGGCAAAACAGTGCAGAGAAACGATCAAGGATGACCTCAAAAACAGGAGAGCAGCGGTGCTGGTAGATGCAGCAGAAGCCAGGAAAAGCATTTGTAATGCCCGCCTGTCCTTCACCAACTACAAGACCAAGATGACTGCCCTCCGACATCCTGATGGATCTATCACATCTTCCAGAAGGGCAATGGAGAAGATTATTCATGACTTCTACTCAGATCTCTTTAATAACCACGTCCACTTGCCCACATACCAAATTCCGCAGGATGGATATGT